AGGACAGGCCTGTCACTGTACTTCTAAAACCTCAGCCACTGCAAACCGTCCGGAACCCAGCTCTGCTCCAACACACAGGGGGCGCCGGGAGGCAGAGTCATTTCCACGGCAACTGGCTCCCCATCTCAGCCAGGAAGGACCACAGGACTCCAGCATCAGCTTCCTCATCTGGGGTAGGGGTTGGATGATAGCACCCACCTCCAGGGGCTGAGAGGTCAAGGAAAGACACCAAGCACCCAATTACTTTCAGAAGGAAGGAAGGAAAAAATAATGCCCAGCCGGTTCCCATTTACTTCTCTCTCCGCTTGTTTGCCTCTAAAAGGAGAAACTTTGCTATTTGTTCTTCAAACATTTGTTTTATTCTTCAGGGGTTTGGGGGAAGGAGGAGGGCTGGTGAAGGTAATCAGTTTTCGGACTTAATATAAAAAATCGCAGGAAAGGGTCGACTTGACTCTTTATAATGAATGGGGTAGGCTGTAATAGGATTCTCCTGCCTGGGGCGCTCCCAGGAAACACCTCTTTACATAAGATATTGCCCACCCTGGAGCGGCACTGGGGTGATTTATGGGATTCCTGGCTCCAGAAAGCCTCTTGTGGGGTTGCACAGCCCGTGGAATTTATCAGGGAGTTTGGAAGCAGGGCAAGAGACGTGCCGGTGACATTTTTGGTGGAGTTTACAAAGCACAAATGCTGGGAAGGGCGAGGCCGGTCGGTGGAGGAGAGACAGGGTCCAGGCAGCCTGAGTTTTCTACCAGCTGAAAGGGACATGGGGAAACCACATGCTTCCACGTGGTTCACGGAAGGACAGCTCTCAGGAGGAGGCGAGTGAGGGGTGGGAACAGCAGGAAGAGAAGCTGGGCACAGACGCAGCCTGGAGGGGTCTGGCCCTAGCCTGCCCCCAAGGGGGCGGGGGACGGCTCTGGAGCGGAAGTAGCACCACAGTGGGTTCCCACCTTAAGGCAAGAAGGCCGGCTTTCTCTCCCTGTACCAGTGAGTTCCTGCACGGTGCAAAATGTTAAGATCCTTGGCTGCTAACAGGAAGGTGGAGGTTTGAATCCACAGAGGCAACTCGGAAGAAAGGCCTGGCAATCTATTTTCAGAAAATCAGCCACAAAAAAGCCTGTGGAGCCCAGATCTCCTCTGATACACACGGGGCACCAGGAGTCAGAGTCGACCCCACGGCAGCTGCTTTCTTCCCATATAGACACGAGAGCACGCACCCTCTCTCCCCGTGCGTGCGCGTGGTGCACACACACACCCTCTCCGCCCATATGTACGTCTCGCACACACACATGCACTCTCATATGCATATGTGTGAAGCACAGACGTATGCAGACATACAAGTTCCAGGAGCACACACAACCACACACACACACAAGGCTGTGGATACCAAGTCAGCCTGAGGTGTCACTTCCCCAATGCAAGGATCTGTCCTTTCTCGGCAGATGATGGGAGGGGTGGTGCTCTGCTCTGTGCCAGGCATCTACCCAGACTGTGCAGGGGGTGGGCGAGCAGCAGCAACCTGAGCCTGGACCCCTCTCCCACACCCCTGCCCTGCCTAGGCCAGCCCTGGGAACTGCCAGCCAAGGGTTGGATCCGCACCTCCTGGTTACCTTGGTTCTAGGCTTGGATGACGCGCTGGGTGAGGCAAGGCCTCCGATGGTAGAATCCACAAGGACCCAGAGAGGGGCCCCAGCTGGGGTGGGGAGGCAAGGCCTGCCTCTGCCAGGTACACACACCTGGCGGCCTGGTTTGCAGGTGCTATCGGTGCTGCCTTAGGCAAACACAGAGCCCCTGCTCCCAGGACCCTCCTCCCAGGCTCCTCTTTGCCCAGCAGAGAGCTCCCGGCACACCAAGGCAGTGTCCTAAGGTTCTCTCTGCCCCATGCGTGTCCCTGCCACATGAAGTCATAACATCTGTGGCCCATGTCTTTGCTCTCTCCCTATGCCACCCTCCCTGGTCTCCACGTGCCCTGGGTGTCAACCAGGAAAGACTACGTTAAGCTAATTGACACGGGTTATCTGGACTGAGGCAACAGCCGACTCGGGCTTCTTATCTCCACTCGCTGAGCCAGGAGAGGGACAAACAGCAGGTGAGAAGTCTCCCAGGAGGTCAGGGCTGTGGGCAGAGGCCCAACGGCCAGACAGAGCACCTGGGACCAAGATGGGCAATGCCACTCACTTGGGCTGGGAGCAACAACATGGCTGGCTGAAGTAATCTGAGGCTTCCTGGAGGAGGCAGCCTTCATCCAGGGCTTTGAAGAGTGTGTAGTCTTTAGAAGAACAGAGGGCACAGCAGGCAGGGACAGGGCTTCAGCGATGGAAAGGCAGCGTGAGAGTAGCAGAGCCTAGCGGTCCCGTGCAGCACTTCAGATTGTCCACACCTGTGCTCCAGTCTTGCTGTGTGGCCTGGAGTGCATGGCTTGGCCTCATCTTTCTCATCTGCAAAATGGTCATAATAATAGTATCTCCCGGATGAGTCACTGTAGGGATCAAATGAAGTGGCCGGTCAAGCCCACAGTACCAGCAGGTGCTCTACAAATGCTAGCTCCTTCCCACTCCTCTTTGTTGGGGGAGGACTGCTCAGGAAATAGTAAGAACACAATGGACCAGGAAGAACAGCTTACCAATCTACTTCCAAAAATCTGCCAAGGAAAACCCTGTGGGTCACAGTGGTCCCACCTACAACCACTCCTGGGGAGGGGCAGGGCCAGACAGTGTTCTGTTCTGTTGTGTGTGGGGTCACCACGGGTCAGCCGCCCACAGCAACCTCCATTGGAAGACTACATCTGCCAGGCCCACGGTAGTCATCCTGAGACAACAGCTCGCTCTCCAGAGGAGAAGACCGAGGCGCTAAGAGATGCTTCATTTGCTCACAGCCAGTGCCTACTAAGTAGGATAGGCGTGAGGCTCAGGTCTGGCTGAATCCAGCTCTGAGCTCTTAATGTCTCCTTGACTCTGGGTAACTCACAGAGTCTGACCAGGAAGAATCGAGCTGGGGCACCCTGGCATTTGAGGGCTGCATCTGGGGAAGAGACCGCAAGCTGAGACAGGCTGAGAGGCAGAGGGAGGTCGTGCAATGCTCAAACCCTTCTCTTCAGAAAACCCGTGCGAGGCGGTGCCAGGTGGGGGGAACAGCTTGGGCAAAGGAAAGGAGGTGGGAAGGGGCAGGAAGCACCGAGCACAGAGGTGCAGCCTGGGGCCCAGAGAGGGGAGGGCACTTGCCTGAGGTCACACAGCATGCATGAGGCAGGAGAGAGGCCTGGGCCAGCCGGGAACTACATTCTGTGATGCACTGCATGGCCCTGTGTGGGTCCCACACTCTGAGCTCGATTCCTGAAGGACATTGAGGGGTTGGGCAAGGCCTCCTCCATCCCAGGCCTGTGGGCCATGGCCATTTTAGGGACCTCTCGGCCCTTCCAGCTGGGGTGAGAACTCCACAGAAGTGGAGAGTCAAGGAGGACCCAAGGGGAGGGCCTTTCTGCCTGGAGCCAGCCCTCCCCATAGAAGACACTTTGCTGCCCCCTTGTGGCTCCAAATATTATAATTTTTCCATCGCTTTCCAAAGAGATGCTTCTCAGGGCAGAGAGGTGCCTAATGCCACACCCAGGACCTGCCTCAACTTGTACCCTACAGATGCATCCAGACTGACCCGGGGGTCCTGCCCCTCCTCTCCAATGCCCCACCATCACCTAACCCACACACAAAGAAAGCCAAGGTCCAAGTAACAGTGATACTGAGGATGTCAGGGCTTGAACCCTGGCTGGGCCATATTCCAGTCGGGTGGCCTCGGACAAGTTATGTAACATAGCCGTGCCTCCAATTCCCCATCGGTAACATGGACGACAGTAATGTAATGGTTCCTACTTCCAGTACCTTTCTGACCATTCAAGAAGGCAGCAGTCAGAAACAGCACATGTCAAGGGTTTAATTTTCCTTGGATCCACAATCAATGTTCATGGAAGCAGCAGTCAGAAATCAGATGACATATAGCAGTGGGCAGATCTGCTGCAAAAAGAAAACTCTTTAAAGTGTTAAAAAGCAAAGATGTCATTTTGATAACTAAGGTGAGACTGACTCAAAACATGGTATTTTCAGTCACCTCGTATACATGCAAAAGCTGGACAGTGGATAAGGAAGACTGAAGAATTGATGCCTTTGAATTATGATGTTGGCAAACCTGACCGTACTGTGGACTGCCAAAAGAATGAATAAATCTGCCTTGGAAGAAGTATAGTCAGAATGCTACTGAGAATCAAGGATGGCGGGACTTCCATCTCATCGTACTTTAGAAACGTTAGGAGGGACCAGTGCAAGGAGAAGACACTGAACAGGATGGACTGACACAGTGGCTGTGACAACGATTGTTGAGACGGTACACGGCCAGGCAGTGTTTCGTTCTGTTGCTCACAGGGTCACTAGGAGTCTGAACAGATTCCCTGGCACCTAACAACAGCAGCGTCAAGTGCCCTTATGGATATTCAAGAAGACGACCAGCAGAAAGCCTTAGAAGTGTTTCTGCCACATACCAAGCACTCCACGAAGACTGACGATTACTGCCCTTGCCCACCCAGGTCTGCTGGTCAATGCTCTGGCAGGATTCCTTTAGCAAACATGAATTTTCAAGGCTGCTGTGCCACCTGGAGTCTGTTCATCACAGAGCCTGCCTCAGGGCGTGCACACCTTCCACAAGCTCAAGGAAGTGGGAAGACCAGACCCACAGGAGTTACACGCTCAACTCAGAAAGCGTTTATTGGCCAGGGCTGCAGCGGAGCCAAAGGGGGTGTTCAGGAGGGCTTCTTGCAGGAGGCGGCTGGCACAGATGTGCAGAAGCTCCCACTGCTGTCTGCCGGCACAGACGTCCCCCTCAGCCAGCCCCAAGGATGTTCGTGAGCCTCCTGGGGGTCTCTGGGGTCTGCTGAGTCTCTGAGGCGGATCCCTTAGCTCCGGCCCACCTGGGCCTGCAGGGCCTGGAGCTCTCGGCTATCAATGCTGTTACCTCCACACACGATGACCACCACGGAGGCCAGTGAGGAGCTGAGACGGCCCTCAGACTGGAGCCGCCCCAGGAGGCCCGAGTAGATGGCAGCCAACGCCGCCCCGCAGGCAGGTTCCACCAGCAGACGTTCATCATCTGCCCAAGGTGGGGATAGTCAATGCTCAGCAGGTGCTGGGTACCACCAATCCGTGAGGTGATCCACCCACCCATCCACCCATCCACCCACCCTCCATCCATCACCCCTCCATCCATCTGGCCATTCATCCATTCACCCCCCTATCCATCATTTGTCTGACTCTCTGCCCATCCATCAATCTGACCACCTCTCTATCTCTCCATCCCCTATCCATCATTAGACTGTCTGCTGCTCCATCCATCAGTGTGTCCATCCATCAATGTTGTCCATCCTTCCATCCATCCATCCCCTTACCTGTCATCTGACCATTTGTCTGTCTGTCCTTTCATCAATATGTCCATTCATCAAGGTGTCTATCCACCCATCCATTTCTCTATCATTCACCAATTCATGACCCCATCACCTTATCCACCCATCCATCCACATCCATCTATGTATTATATGCCTTTCCACTCATTCATCCATTCACCCATTCATTCAACAAATATTTATTGAGCCCTACTCCCTGCCAGGCCCTATACTAGGAAGACCCTGGGGAACCAGCAGTGAACAAGACACACCAGTCTCCGCCTTTACACGGGTCACACTCTAGTGACGGACAGATGGGTAAGAAGCAGGCAGTTGTGAACAGAAGGGCTGGCACACAGGGGCCTCAAACCCAGGAAGGCAGACTTCTTGGAGGAAGCAGAGTGGCCCTTAGTTATGGGAAACCAATAGGTAGCAGAGCCAGGGATAGGCATGCCTGAGGGAGGAACAGTATGCACGGCAGCCTGGAGGCTGGAAACAGCAGGATACACTCTTTCCTCACCCCACCCACCCTTCCATTGACTAGGTGTGCACTTATTTTGTAACTACTGCCTTCCATTGACTAGGTGTGCACTTATTTTGTAACTACTGCCTTCCATTGACTAGGTGTGCTCTTATTTTGTAACTACTGCATACCCAGCCCTGAGGACACAGACAAGGATCCAGGGACACTGGATTTCTGTCCCCAGGCAGGGGCTGTGCTCACTCACCCAAGAACCGCTGCACGGCCCTCACAGCCTGCGCATCCTCCACCACCTCAGAGAGGATGGTGCATTCCCGCGTGCACGCTAGGGCCCGCGCCGCCACCGTCTTGGCACCCAGGCACTTGGCCACGCTGCAGGGTGGAGTAAGGCAGGGTAGGAACTGCAGGGGTGGGGGAAGAGCTAGAGAGTGAGGTCCCTCTCTGCATAGCCCCAGGTCACCCTCCCCAGTCCTGCTAGAGCTCAGCGTCACGGAGCTGGAGAGCAGTGGGTCGGAGAAGGGTGGAGATGGTTCCAGAAAGCTAACAGGACACTCATGGGCCGAGGTCTCATTCTTCTGGAAGCAAGGACCAAGCTCAAGTTTCCTAATTGGCTCTCTGGGACCCGATACACAATAAGTGCTTCACAACGCTGACTTACAAGGCTGTCTTGATTTCAGACGCCTTGTAATCAACAGTCATTTCCTAAGTCCCACCACCTGACAGTGTCCCGTAAAGTGGGAGGTGATAGGACCCATGAAAGGTTGTTGGTGGTGACAAGGAAGTGTTAGTTCATTGTTAAGAAACTGTCCACTGCTGAATTAGAATCCATTACACAGGGCCATGGGGGAGATGGAGATACCAGGAATGGATAAGCATGATGGCTGAGCAACGTGATGAACCAAGGTTTGTGTCACTCGACCACACACGTGCGGGATGCTGAAGAGGCAGACATTTTCCTACGTGGTGTTCACCACAATAACAATAGAGAAATGAAAGGTTTCCCAAAAAATGTAGTGGGGGAAAGCTCTCTGATAACATGGCAGAAAAAAACACAAATGGAGCTACATAATCCACGTAATCACTATCTGTAACACAAACTAGAAAAACTCTGGCAGTCAGCTGCCATCGAGAGGAACCCAAACCCTGCTGGCCGTGTGTCCAGAGCAGAGCTGTGCCCCGTAGAGCCCTGCAGCCCAATGGCCATGACCTTGCAGAAGCAGGTCGCCCGGCCTCCCTTTTGAGGCGACCCTGGGTGGACATGAACCAGCAGCTTTTCGGTCAGCAGCTGTCAGGTCAGCCATCTGCCCCACCAGGGACTCCCCTGGGGAAAGAGAGGCTGTAAACAACATGAAGGTTACCATCCTGGGGTTTAAGAGTGTATCATTCATTCATTCACTCATTCCACAAACGTGTTGTACTCCTACTATGGGCCAGGCATTTTTATATGTATGTGAAATACGTGTATATGCATAAAACCACAAAACCCCATTGCTGTTGAGTCAACATAGACTCACAGTGAGGCGACAGGACAGAGGAGAACTTTCCTACAAGGTTTTCCAGGCTGAAATCTTTTCAGAAGCAGACCACCACATCTTCCTTAGGCAGAGGGATGGATGGGTTTGAACTGCAAAACTTTTGGTTAGCAGCTGAGCAGCTAATAACTGCTCCTTCATATATATGCACAAAGGGGCGTGGAAAAAAAACCCACCAGAGACTGGCAACCATGCAGCCAGCCTGAGGCCTGGTCATGGGGGGGGGTGGGGGTGGAAGTGAGGCAGTATTGTTAGTCTGCTTGCTGTCGCCTGTTTGCTGACTCACCTGCAACTTAACTTGCCTTTGTAAGGATGCAAAGTCACGAAATCGGCTTTAACTGATGAAATTAACACAATTCATGTGCCTCCGTCTAATTTTTCAGTATTGCTCCCTCACTTAAGGAGCCCTGGTGGCCCTGGGAAAAAGCACTTGGCTGCTACAGAAAAGTCAGCTGTTTGAACCCACCAGCGGTTCTATGGGAGAAAGACGAGGCAGTCTGCCCCCATACAGATGACAGTTCTATTCTGTCCTTTAGGGTCACCATAATGAGTTGGGATACAGTACACAGCAACGTTTGTTTGTTTGTTTTTAATATTTTGGTTTGCCCTCTAACCATGCTATAGTTGGGGTCTGGCACAGTAAGACCCTCTTGGGTGCCCCCCCACTGGCCAGGACTGGGAGGTTCTGGGGTGCCCCCTTTGGCTCCCATAATTGCTGGTGCTCACCTGGTGATGTCCGGCAGAGTGACTGGCTTGCCAGCCTCAATGGCCGCGTTGAAGCAGTGTGCGCCGCGGGTCTCCATGGCGATGATAGGCACGTGCTGCCAGCCCACCTCCACCAAGCCGGCCACCACCCCGGCCAGCAGCCCCCCGCCCCCGACTGCCAGCACCAGGGCACCTGGCGGGGCTCTCAGTGCTACCTTTAGCTCGCGAACCAGGCTGGCATGGCCTTCCCTGGGGAGGGGGTTGGGAGAAGCAGAGTCAGGGAGTGGCCCCAGCCTCCAAATTCCTCTCTCCCACTTGTGTACAAACCGCCGTGATTGCCATGCCCCTCCCCATCCACAGCAAGGGGAGAGGAGACCCTACCACACACACGTCATTCTCTTTCATGCTCTCACTTGATTCATTTATTCCTTCATTCATTCTTCCCCTCCACCAGCCTCCCAGGCCCTTTCTCAGGCTTTATCCCCGATCCCCACATTAAACCTCCCATGACTTGCAAAGAGGCAATATTAACATGAATGGTTAAGAAGAGACCAGAACACCACCTAGAGCCACCCTGACTCAAGCTCTGAGTTTCAGACCCTGTGTTTCTGCCACTCACTTGCTGTGTGATCTCGGGAAAGTTGCTTAACTCCCCTGTGCCTGTTTCCTCAGCTGTAAAATGGGAGCGACAATACCCACCGCCAGGGTTTTAGGGAGGATTAGAGAGATGAGCAAAGGAGGCTCTTAGCTGAGCGCCGGGTCCCAGTGGACACGCTCTGAGGGTCCATAAGTATCGTTCCATTTTATCCCATTTTACACATGTGGAAACTGAGGCACGGGGCAGTGAGCACCTTGCACAAAGTCACATAACTCACAGGCGGCAAGACCAGGCAGGGCCTAAACCCTGACTTCAAAGCCTTCTCCCCTCTGGGGCTCTGTTTTCCCTTCTGTCCAATGGGAAGAGTCTAACTCAGTGAAGGCCTCCCAGCTCTGAATTGGGGCACCAAGCTCACCATATCAGGGGGTGGTCAAACGGGTGCACGCTCACCCAGCCGTCCCTCTTGGCCAGCTCCTGAGCTCTCACGTTGGCCTCGTCCCAGACCTACAGAGAAACCAGCCAAGGGCCCCCGAGAACCAGGGTGTCAGGACCCTGCTGGAGGCTGCAGCAGAGGTCTGGGGTGTCCTAGCTGGCCCCGGACCCAGTATCTGGGAAGACTCCTGGGGTGCAAACAGGCCTGGCATGGACCCAGGAGCCTCCTTGTCCTGGGGCAAGGGCAAAGCCTTGCAAATGGACCAATGCGACATGAAAGAGGTGACGTTGCGATATTTGGAGTCAAGGCCTTACGAGGCATTGTGTATTTTCTCTCAGACCTCTCACCTTTCCCCTGGAGAAGGACGTGGCCCATGTGGCCACTGGTCAAGGAAGACTAAGGGCACATATGAAGCCCTTACTCCCGGACCAGAACCACCCCAGCTGACCCACAGACCCTCAAGGAAGAGAAATGAGTGGTTGTCATCAGACCCCGATATTTGGAGGCTGTTTGTTGCCCAAAAGCTGATTAATGTCATCCACTTTCCTTGTTCTTCATCAGTGCCCTGTGTGTTCCACATTCCAGCACTCATCACGCGTGGCTGTAATCAATGAGTTGCCTGTATGTCCCCCCACAAGACACTGAGCTTCATGAGAATAAAGAGCATGTCTTATTACCTCTGCATCCTTAGCACCGGCTAACGCAGTGTGGGGACATAGGACGAGCTCAGTAAATGTCTGCATGGATGGGGGGTGGGCCAGGTGGATGGATGGGAGGAAGGAAAAAAGGAAGGAGGATGATCAATGGATAGAAGGAAGGATGGATGGGTGCGTGGGAGAACAACAGGGTGGATGAACAGTGGAACAGATGGAGAGATGGATGATGGAAGGAAAACAGGGAAAGAGGAGGGAGGGAGGAAGGGAGGGAGGGAACCGCATACACTAAGAACTGGGAGACTAGCTTTTGGGTACCATGTATGGCTTTTATTGCTAGCGTGGAGTTTTTAAAACCTGTTTTCCGAGGACAATTTTCTCTTCTCCCAGGAAGGGAGAAGGGTCCCATGTCTGTGCCTCACTCTTTGGTAACAAAGAGAACTGTTGAATCCTTATCAGTGGGCGTCCTCCATGCTGGACGCTCAAGGAATGAGAAACACTGCTGCCATCGCCTCTCTGTATATACCTTCTGTCTCATCAAGTGGCAAAATTTTAAAAGTTCGTAATACCAAGTGTCGGTGAGGATGTGGGGAGACAGGCAGGCTCCTGTTTGCCAGCAGTTTCCTGTTTCTCCTGAGTTCATGCATGGGAGATCTCCTCGGGGTGGGGAGAGGCCAGTCGGGGGTCTCAGCCTTCTCTATCAATCACATCTCACTGCCCCCTTCAGCTCCCTCATCCTAAGAGAAGGCTGAGCCACAGCCACAGCTCATTCAAGGGAAAAGGAGACTGAAGCTCTGAGAGGTGGGGTGAGGGTGAGTGGGTTTACTCCAGCCACTTTCCCCCCTTCCTGGGGTTCTTACCTTTCCAGCCAGCTGTACCTGGGCACCCTCCCCCTGCAGCCTCCTGACCACCTGCAGGGAGGTGCTCTCGGGGAGCACGATGGTGGCGGGGATGCCCAGCTTCCGAGCAGCGTAAGCAGCAGCGATCCCTGCATTGCCCCCTGGGAGACAGAAGGAGGAGTGCAGGGAGCAGTGCTGTTAGCCTGCAGACATCCCTCTCCCTTCCGCCCATTTTCCTCTGGGAGACACTCCTCCCTACTCTCATTTGCCTCGCCCCCATTGACTCCCACCCCTGGCTCCAGACTTGGACACAAATTCAGACTGAGTCAACCAGAGACTCAATTCCCTGACCTGTGGTCGGTTCAGGGATGAGTACAGGACCACAGCTGGGCCAAAAAGACCAATTCCAGAGTTCGGGGGAACCCTCAAGAAGGCGCCTTCTTTAAACTAGGGTTGGTAGGTGGGTAGGATGCAAGCCTGGAACTCCACCTGAGGTGGTGATTTTGCTACCATGAGGTCTGTATGAGGAGGAAGCTAACACAGAGGAAAGCAAAGCCAAGGGGAGAGCCCCTGGATTCAGCCATGCCTGAAAGCCGCTTATCCCAGACTTTCTGGTTCTTGGAACCTGTTGATTTCTTTTTAGCTTAAGCCTACATGAATTGGGTTTGTATCACTTGCTACTATGAACCCTGAATGATGGAAAGAGAGAGGATATATGAGGGGTCCATCTGGTCATGAGCTTGATGAGGATGGACCCTTAAAAGAAAACCAAGCCCTGGTCAACAACAGCTCCTCCAACTCCTTCCCCCTGACCCCCAGCCTTGAGGACCCCCACGAAGCAGAAAGGGGTGGGTCACCTGAGGAACACACCAGGTGTCGGCATCCCTTCTTGGCCACCTGGGAAAAGAGGGGATGAGGTTGCGGGCTAACCCAAGCAAATGTCAGAGAGGTTGTGTGGGATGGAGTTAGACCTTCTTCATCCTACCCACGCCCTACAGCCCTTACCCCCACACAGCCCAAAGCCCGCCCTGCCCATCTGTGCAAGCTCACATCTCTGCTGGCTCCCCTTACCTCCTGGCAGAAATGCCCAATGCCTCGGATCTTGAAGGAACCGGCTGGCTGCACATTCTCACACTTGAGGAGGACAGTCGTGCCTGCCACCTGGGACAGTGCCCAGCTCTCCAGCAGAGGAGTGACCACATGGAACTGCTCAGCCGTCAGGGAGCCCTCCATGTCAGCAGCCACCAACACAGTCTGCAGGAGGACATGACTGCCAAACCCAGGTGGCTGCAGCCAAGAGGCCCCTCAGCCAGGACGGGGGAGCAGAACGGGAGAATCCCCAGCTTGGGCTCCCTTGGCCCGCCCTGGTGCCAAGCTGGGAGATGCCAGGCAATTATCCACTCCTCTCGGCCTCGGTTTCCCCCTCTGGACAAAGGGCCCTTTCATTCTGAAACTATGGCTACCCACATGCTAGGAATGAATGAATGAATGATGGAGTGAGGGGCTCATTCGCTCATTCATTCATTCATTCCAAAAACAACAATGAGCACCTATTATGTTCCCGATTTGTGGAACCAGTGATGGACAAGCTTCGCCTGGGTTCACATTCTCACTGGGGAGACAAACCACAGGATTTCTAATAGGAGTGACTGGGCACGGAGGTGTCATTTTAGTGAGAATGGGCAGGAAAGGTCTCTTTTGGAAGAAAACTTTGAAAAATATTTATTGTGGAAAAAGAAGCAAAGCCCCACTTTTTTCTGGGGCAAAAAAAGCCTCAGGCCAGTCCCGTATTTCCAATAACAGCCACCAGGGGGCGTACTGCTGCCTCCTCACTCACCTACACACAGGCCCAAGCTTTATGTCAGCCCTCAGTCGAGGCTGGGGTCCTCCCATCAGAGCAGTCCAGGCCTTCCGCCCCTAGATCTGACTCTGCCCCATTGCGGTGACTCCAGGACACCCCAGGTAGGGCAAAACCTGAGCCACCTCTTCTGGATCCATCAATCACACCTTCCTGTCTGGGCATTAGGGCAGGATGTATGGGTCTTCACTTGTCGCCAAAGCCAGCATACCCTGGCCTAGGCCACACTTTGGCCCTGCAGCCCAACATGGGTTATGGGGACAAGCAGAGACCAAAGTTAGAAACCAGCTCTGACTGGGCGACCCAGACAAGTATCTTGGACTCTCTGTGCCTCAGTTTCCCCTTCTGTAAAATGGGGATAATAACAGTCCCTAGTCCTCAGGCTGAGTTAGTGGGAGATGTCACCTCTACCATCTGGGCTGGGTACTTTAGAGAGACTATCTCAGCGTGGCCTTCTAACAAAGCTGGCACGCATGCGGTCCCTCTAGCTTCTACACGGGCAGGCACTGCCACAGTAAACAAGATGAACGTCGGCTCTTGGAGCTCATTTACAGTCTGATGGAGGAGATCAGCAATTAACAAAGAACCACGTAGACCAGAAAAAAAAAATGGTGAAAACTGCTAAGAGGGGAACAAATATATAGGGATGTGTGAAAGACAAGAACAAGGGGACCGACTTTGGGTAGTGAAGTCCAGAGAGGCCTGAGAACTAAATACTCATACAACAAACGGGACGAAGGGCTTGTGCATCACGGGGCCGTTGGGAGGATTAAGTGAGGCCCTACAAGCACTGACTCTGTGCCCAACATACAGGATGTGTCCATAACTGGTGGCCTTTATCATCACCTCAAAGTCACAGTTACTATAATCCTAGCAACAGCACTGTGGGACCCCCTGCGAGCCGGGTACGGGGCCCAGCACCTTCTGCAGGATCTCATTGAATCCTCGCTGAACAACAATGACCAAATGAGTTAGGTCATATTACCACTTCATGTCTATCTATCTATCCACTGTGGCCATCTCAGAAGCCCTAGAAAATGCAAACTAGTCTATTGTCCACCTCTTGTCTGTCAGTTTGCTGTACTGTGCTGGCTGGCCTGTTGCTGTGACATTGGAAGCTATGCCACCAGTATTTCAGATACCAGCAGGGTCACCCATGGTGGGCAGTTCCAGTAGAGTTTCCAGACTATGACTGGGAAGAAGTATGTAGCCAGGGGCACTTCTGAAAAAACTTGGCCACTGCAAACGTTGTGAACAGCAGCGGAATACTGTCTGATACGGGGCTGGAAGATGAGCCCCTCGGGTCAGAAGACACTCGAATACAAATGGGGAAGAGCTGCCACCTCAAAGTAGAGCTGACCCTACTGATGGGGGTGGAGTAAAGCTTTTGGGACCTTCATTTGCTGATGGGGCATGACTTAAAATGAGAGGAAACAGCTGCAAACATCCACTAATAATTGGAATGTGAAACAGATGAAGTATGAACCTAGGAAAACTAGAAATTGTAAAAAATGAAATGAAACGCATAAAGATCAATATCCTAGGCATTAGTGAGCTGAAATGGACTGGTTCAGGCCCTTATGGATTAGATAGTCATATGGTCTACTGTTCCAGGAATAAGAAATTGAAGAGGAAGGGCATCACATTCATGATCAAAGAGAACGTTTCAAGATCTATCCTGAAGTACAACACCATCAGTGATAGGATAACATCCACATACCTACAAGGAAGACCAGTTAATAAGACTATTACTTACACATCACCTCTAGAGCCAAAGATGAAGAAATTGAAAAGTTTTACCAACTTCCGCAGTCTGGAATTGATGAAACAGAAAGTCAAAATGCATCGATAATTACTGGTGATTGGAATGTGAAAACGGGAAACAAAGGAGCAGCATCAGTCCTTGGAAAATCAGCTTTGGTGGTGGGAATGATGCCGGAGACCGCGTGACAGAATTTTGCAGACCCACAACTTATTCATTGCAAACACAATATACAATATTCTCAACAATATAAACGGTGACTATACACGTGGGACTCGCCAGATGGAAGATTGTTGTTGTTGTTGTTGTGTGCCGT